GAGGCTCCGTTATTTCCAGTGGGGCCTCCCAAGGCAGAAAGACTTAGAGGCTTTCACCGTTAGACTGGGAGAACCAATTAGAACAGAAATTGACCCTAAGCTTTCCTTGCCTGACCGTGATCATGTCTCCTTCTTTGTTTAGAATCTTATGAGTCAGAAGCTACTCATACCTTATGTGAGGCTGGGTATAATAATATTCTGGAAATATCCTAGCAAACATTGCACACAGCATCCATTTGTGAAAGGTTGGGGCCCAGGTCTCTATCCCACACCCCTTTGTGAGTCCCATGATAGCATTGCCTATCACCACAGCTCTCCTAAGGGTGAGCACATAGATATTATATATACTATACTATACATAATATATAATATGTTATATATTATATAGTGATTTCATATACCATTGTGGTGGATGTGTTGGCTGCTTGTCCTGTTTTCCTGATTTTGCTCCAATATGGCAGAGTTTACTTGTTGCAACAGAAGCTGACAATACTGGAAGCATGCTTTTCCAGACCTGGCTGAAGTCAGAAATGGTCATGTAACTGAGTTCCTTTTTCTGGGCAAAGTTCCAGTGGTCTATTTCTATTTAAAATTTTAAGTTCCTTTTATTTATTTGAGGGAAGGAGGAAGGGGGAGAAAGAAAGAAAGAAAGAAAGAAAGAAAGAAAGAAAGAAAGAAAGAAAGAAAGAAAGGAAGAAAGAAAGAAAGAAAGAAAGAAAGAAAGAAAGAAAGAAAGAAAGAAAGAAAGAAAGAAAGAAAGCATGTGAGTGAGCTACTGTTTTACTCCCTGAATGCTCACAACAGCTGGAGCTGGGCCAGGCTGAAGTTAGGAGATGGGAACTTCATCTGGGTCTCCTGCATGGGCAGCAGGAGCCCAAGTACTTGAGCCACTGCCTGCTGTCTGCCAATTAGCAGGATGCTGGAATTAAAAATAGAGGCAAGATTTGAGTCTAGGCACTGCAATATGAAGTGTGGGTAGTCCCAGTAGTGTCTTAACTGCTGAGACAAATGACTCAGTTCTACCAACAAGGCATAAATGAAAGTGTTTTGAGGGAGGTCTGAGGAATGAGTTCCCTCCTTGATCAAAAAAGAGACAGGAGACATGACTCTGCTGCAACTCTGGCTGTCTCTTTCCTAGATGTGGTTGTGATGTTTGCATCCAGGGAAGCCATTCTGGGACCATGAGGCAACAAAGCCAAGGGTGAAAACAGCACTCTGAAGATGCTGGGAATAATGAAGGAAATGAAAAAAGATGGCACCCTTGGTAACATCCCTGGGTGGTGGCACTGAACTTGCAATTAACTACTCCTGGGGATGGGGTTCCTGTTTAAATCATTCAGTCAGGAAATCTGCTACCTGCAGCCAGAAGCAGCTGACCTGGTGTAGATTCCTAATGTTTCATGATGTATTTTTTAAAGATTTATTTATTTTTATTAGAAATACAGATCAGATTTACGGAGAGAAGGAAAGACAGAGAGAAAGATTGTCCATCCTTTGGTTCACTCCCCAGGTTGTGCAACGGCTGGAACTGAGCCCATCCAAAGCCAGGAACCAGGAGCTTCTTCTGGATCTCCCATGCAAGTGCAGGGTCCCAGGGCTTTGAACCATCCTCTGTTGCTTTCCCAGGGCCGAAGCAGGGAGCTGGATGGGAAGAGTAGCATCCAGGACACAAACTGGCACCTATATGGAATGACAATGCTTGCAAGGTGGAGAATGTAGCCATTGAGCCATCGTTTCAGATCCTGATGATGTATTCTTGTCTTCAGTTCTTGACAAGGAAGAGGTCATTGGAGTGCTCTTCTTCCAACCTTGTTGACTGTCTTTTTCCTACTCAAATTATTATATTTACTCTGACTTCTCAGCTCACCTTGGAAAGTTCTCTTGAGGGCTGACTATGACTGTCTACATCACTAATTTGGTCTAAATTAATGTGATATAATGTTTATTCAGTCAAGAACTGGTCATTATTTTATGAATGGGAGCTTTCAAAGAGGTGGAATTCTCAGAATTTGGCTATTACTTAGAGGAGGGAGAATGAAGTAAGAGACTGCCACCCCAGCTTCTGGCTTGTTTGCATGGAGGACGTTTCCTTTTGCTATGAGTCAATTTGGGGAGAGAGAAAGAGAGAGAGAAAAAGAGAGAGAGAGATGCAGAGAGAGAGAGAGAGAAAGAAGGAGTTGAAGATGAGTTTTGACTTGGTATGTTGAGTGGGAGGACGTATTTTTTGGAGCAGCCCCATTAGGCAGTTGAGCATCAGTTCTGGATTATGGTACTGGAAGGATGGGATTGATGAGTGACCTCAGTACTTATGATGTGGGACCCACCCTCTCTGCAGCCCAAAGTAGAAATCAGGTAGTAGTCATTAATACCACCCTCGCTTCATCCCTCCACCCATCCTCTTGACTCTCTTACCCATGAACAGCTCTTCATCCTCCCTTCACCTCTTCCCCGAGTCCACACCAGTGCCCCTTCACTGACCATGTCCCATCATACCAGTCTTCCTCAAGCCTGGAAAACACCCATCTTTTGCCTGTCTGGAGCTTTTGTCCACAAGATTTTCTCTTCCAAGAACAACTTTCTTCACATTTTCTAGCTTCCTCTGCCTTCCAAACTCTTGCCTACTCTTTTGCTCTCTTCCTAAACTTCCTCAAGCAGGCCTCCCTGATTCTCCTTCACCACAGCCAGCCTTGTGGCCTCACAAGTTTAACTTTGTTGGAGCTCTGTGAGGAGTGATTTGGCTTTTGGTGACATATACAGGCAAACAAAGCTTTATAAGACTTGCATATAAAAAAATAAAATGATTAAAATGAGAACTGTAATTACCAAGAATTAAAAATTCATGAGTGTGAATATGATTTTTTTTAATACTAAAAGGCAAATATACACAGGAAGCTAAATAGCTTGTGAACAGAAAATCAAGACCAAATTGCTTGTGAGCATAGATCTGGATTAACGAGTTTATAAAACAGGATCTGTAAGGTTCAGTTCACTTGTGTCCATCAGAGAGCTCTCTCTTGACACATGTTCCTGTCCTTTGCATTCCAGTAATGAAGATTCCATGCCTGTTTCCATCCATCATATGAGTTTCAGTGGTTGACCTGCTGCCCCTCAGATGGACACAGTGTGTTTTAGATATGTGAGCATCTACTTGGTTAATGCTACATAAGGTCAGCTCAATTTGGGAAGACTTGTCCCTTTTAGGTGACTTTGTATATGTCTGCTGTGATCTGTTGTGTCTACTTTATAGCTCAAGTGTATGAAAACAGACTATAATTTTAAAACAGACTATTTTTTAAAAGAAAAAATAGATTTATTTATTTATTTACATGAGGAACAGACGGAGATCTTTCACCTGCTGGTTCACTCCCCAGATGATCACAACAGTCAGGGCTGGGCCAGACTGAAGCCAGGAACCTCTCTTCATCTGGATTTCCTAAGTGGGTGGCTGGGACCCAAGCACTTGAGTCATGCTCTGCTGCTTCCCAACCACAGCAGGCACGGGATGGGAAGTGGAGTAACTGGGACTCAAACCAATGCCCGTATGGGATCTCAGTGTGACAAATGGTAGTTTACCCCCATGGGCCACAAGGCTGCACCCTATACTTTTATGTCTTTCTATGAAAGTCTCTTAATTATTGCATCTGTGTAGTAAGCTTTAGACTGCTTCAGGTTCTGCATTGATTCTTGTTTTAACAAATGGAACTGTGCAGCCTTTAAGTTACAAGCTCTTCCAGTGGTCTGGGGATAGAATGCACTTTCAAGAGGGAGTTTGGAAGGCACTTGCTAGATAAGGGTGAAGGCTGCAAGCACTCCTATGCATACAATCTTCTATTGTAGGGGCTGGCACCATGACGTAGTAAGTTAAGCCTCTGCCTGTGGTGCCAGCAACCTACATAGGTGCTGGTCTGTGTCCTGGTTGCTCCACTTCTGATCTAGCTCTCTGCTTATTAGCCTGGGAAATCAGCAGAGTATGGCTCAAGTCCTTGGTAGCCTACAACCACATGGGAGATCCAGAAGAAGCTCCTGGCTCCTGGTCTTGAATGGGCTCAGCTCCAGCTGTTACAGCCATTTGGGGGAGTGAGCCAGCCAATGAAATCTCTCTCTCTCTGTAAATCTGCTTTTCAACTAAAAATAAAATTAATCCTTTAAGAAATTTCCCATTTTGTTTATTTATCACAAAAATATTCTGTAAGAAAGCACCCTTGGGAATTCTTGGTCCCCTGGGAAAACCTCACTTTAATCTTGACAAATTTCCTGTTGATCAGACATCATGAGAAACATACAAATTGGTCCTTGCAACTCCTCATGACATATATTGTCAAGAGTGTTTAAGAGCCTTAAAATCTATTATTTTTATTCCTCATACAAGAGGATCACAGCTAACTTTATTATCATGAAACTTCAGGCAGTAGCGATATTGTGACAGAGGGCATTTCCATGGAGAATATTCCACTGTGTCTTCTGTTTGGGCTACTTTGGTGCTCACTATTGAAATCTGAGGTGCATGTCCAGTTTCCTTATGTGTTTTTTTCAAACATCTGAACCACAGTATAAGAGATGTAAGACTGGTACTTCTAGTGGAAGACAAGGCACAGCTGCGGTCCTCAGCCGATCATATCCTGAGATGTGGCATGTCCTAGAGAACTGATTGTGAAGCATGCATGGTCCAGGTTAGCCCCAAAGGACATGCTCAGGCCCCATCTGGGATGACATGGAAGTAGCTCTGAGGACAGTGAGCCCAAGGCAAGAGCAGCATGCCCCCAACATCTGTAGTTGTCTTTGGTGTTTAGTTTTCATCCCTGAATTGGGAGAACAATAAACAGTTGAGATCCTCCCAAGGGCACAGGCTATTAAATCTGAAATTGAACAGGGATAGTTCAACCACACATGTGATGCTACTCCCAAGTGTCATAAAGGAATAGGGACTAGAAATGGTACATGTCTATGTAATGTGATTGTTCATACACATTGAAAGCTATGAAAGGTCCATTACTCAAAGCCCAGTTTTGGATATATCATTTATTCATACTCTTACATTTTTCATACAGACAAGAGGACAAAACAGAAATGTTCCTTAAGAAGCTTCAGTTAATATTAGGATAACACTTAGTAACAAAAGTAGCTTGAGAGAATTAATATCACTTACATTAGGTCATGTCTAAGGCTTTAACATATTCCTATTTACAAATCTACAGGAGCAGATGGGGGATTGTGTTGTCTTGGGCACATAAGAACTCTTCTCCGAAAATCAACTTGGATGCACATTAGGGAACTGTGCTTCACTGAGTCCTGGTCCAGATGCTTCCACTGGTGAGCTTTGATTATGCTTGCTTTTTTAGTTCCCCTAACTCTTATCTCACAAATTCCCTAGCCAGGAAGATCTCAGTTCAAACACTGAAGAGTTAGTTTTTCCGTGGGAATATCAACAAATGCATGACAGGTGCAAATTCACCATATCAAAAGGTTTTGATCACAGGTTTAAAAATGTTTTAAATCTCTCCCTACATTTCCACAATAGCCAGATCTCCCATGTGGGTGACAGGCACCCCCCTGCTTGCGTCACTTCTGCACACCTTCTGTGTGCATCAGCAGGAGGGTGGAATCAGAAGCAGAGATGGGATTCAAGCCTTCCTACTCCATTTCCCAAGTGGGGATATCTGAACAGTTGCAAAAATGCCCAGCCATGGTCTCAGTTTAAAAAAGTTGGAACAGTGTGTGTTGGTCTATGTTCCCGAAAAAAAAAAAAAGGAAGAAGTAACCTCCCTAAGATATATACAGGTTTGCTGCCCCACTGCTAGTTATCCGTTCAGAAAACTACGCATGGGCACTAGAGATTTGAAGAGGAAAAGCTCCGGGACTCCAAAATTTCACATTTGCAACCTCCACAATACTAAATGGACACACACTGAAGTGGAAGGCATTGAGTGTACTTTTCCATTGCCTTCCTTAGCATGTTTGGTCACAGAACGTTTGTAGGACTCAAAACTTTTCAATGAAAAAGAAAAGCAGAATTCCTTACCTATATTTCTTTTGGGTGGTTCAGATACCATTGGTTTCTGAGAAAGAGTATTGTAAGTGTGCATAAATAATCTTTTAAGGCCAAAAATTCAACAATTTCTAAAAATAACATCTATACACACTCTGAACTTATCCTCCTGCTATCCTTAAATGAGTTAAAAATGTGTTAAGGGCTCTAAGATGCTGATAATTGAATCAACTAAGGGATGACTAGCTCTATACTGACTATTTTATAAACAGGTGTAGGTGGTAATTAAGCTGGAAACTTTTCCTTTCTGATCTCACTGAAAACAAGTTTTCTTCACAAGAGAATACTGAACCCTTCCTTGAAAAGTCCTTTGCTATCTCTGAGAGAAGTGACAACTGCAGAATAACATTGATGAATAAAGTCCCTCCTTCCTTCTTGCAGCTCTGTGGCCCTGAAAAACAAAACAACAAAACAAAACACAACCAAAGACCTATTCCCACACCTATAATAGTGGGGGAGTCCATATGGCTGGGGACCTGGGGAGTCGGTGCCTGTCCAGGCTGCCCCAGCAGCTCCCACCACAGCTTTAATGTATAACTTGCATTGATCGGAAGAGAACAATCTACTTCTGTGAGACTGTTAAGCTCCATTGTTTTCACAGAGCTTGCTTTGTAATGCTGTTAACATCATCCAGCCAACACATTATCAATAAATATCAATAATAGTGCCTGCTTTGCTTCCTCTTTCTGTTGGAGTGTTTTGATTTTATAAATATGTTGCAGTCTTAGTGCCAACCCCTACAGGGTTTTAAAATTCCACATCAGAGCACACCACCTGGATGTGGCTCTCATGTGTTTGAGAGTATTCCTGGAGTCAAAACAATCAATTCAGAATGAGCAGAACAGATCACCCATGAGTTAGCATCAAAAACAGCAGTCCTCTTGGAAGTTGCATGGAGCAGGAGGCAGATGGAAATGACTCATGACGTTGGTCATGGATAGTGGCTGCTCTCACAGAGGGCTTTCCACTATTCTTCTCCTGGTTTGTTGGTAAAAGAGGCGGTTTTCTTCAGAGTAAGTGACTTTGCTGAGGGGCATCTTGTAGATGTTGTAGTTGTTGGTGGTCAGCAGGAGGAACAGTAGTGTGCTCAAACAGAAGGGCCATGTACAAGCAGGCAATCCAACCTGGATAGGAGGAAACATGCCACAGTCTTTTGAGACCTTCTCTGACAGTGAGTCCATGAGTCCACACAAAGCACCTTCTTTATTCTCCTTCAGCCTGGCAAGTTGAGTCACTGGGGATATTGCCCCAGACTGTGCTTTAATCCACAGAGTCTAAGATCTTATATCACTTAGCAGTGGAAATGTTTTCATCCAATCTGTAGGGTGGTCCATTGTGTCTCTGTCTTGCATGTTTTCCCTCTCCACTTCTACATTTAAACTTCCTATGCCAGATGGATATGGATCTTGGTATATGGGGATGATACTTAGCAAACTAGAAAGGGCACCTGACTACTCAAATTGCCCACAGGTCTTCTCTGTTTTGTCAAGCCCATGGCAATATCATGACTTCCACTCAGCCTAGGTCTTGGATGCTACTTGCTTTACTTATTTCCATTCCATCTTCTGAATAAACTCTTAAGTTCCTGATATCTCATCTACTACATTATCCTGATTTTTCACTTCTTTGTTTAAATGAAAAACATTCTAATGTCAAGTTCTTGACACTCAGAATGACTATGAACTTGATAACATGTCTTCAAGTTATTGGTAAAGCATTGTTATTCATTAAACCAAACAATATGATATTTTCAAATAAACTTGATGGTTTTAGCTTGGACTAAAGCTTGCTGTGATGCCAGAAGATTAGAGAGGGCAAACAAAAATGAGGGTTGTGGATATCACAGACATGGAGCCTGCCTGACAGACCTCAGGAAGATTTCTCACTAAGTTGAAAGTTGATCGATTATGCTATTCATCAAATGAGATGAAAGAAAACTCACCCTAGCCATTAGGTGTGTCAGGCTTCCTCCAAGGTATGCAGTGAATAGGGCTACAAAAAAGAGAGAAACACAATGGTTGATCGATACACTCTTAGCCACAGCAAAGACTGACTTTCAATATCGATCCCTGGAAATGTACACTTGTACATTCCAGCAGCGAGTCCAAGATCCCAGCTCTAAGTATGAGATTAGAATCAGTGGCTCTGGCTTCAAGTCACAGCTCCCACCTTTAGTAGCTCAGTGAACTCTGTTCTAAGCCTTGTTTTCCTTACCTGTCCAATGAGGGTGGCAAGAATCTCTCTCTCATGGGTTTGGTATAAACGTCAAAGGAAATGATGCTCCTGGTTATCACACAGTGAGTGTTCGGTAAATTTTTATGGTTACCACCTTGTTGTTACAATAGTTAAAGGAAAGGGCTTCTTGCAAGTCAACTCCCCCTTGTTGTTTTATCCAAGCATAATTAAATAAAAACACAACTTGCAAATGTTTCCTGAGATAGCATGGTTTCTGTATACTCTCATTGCATCTAGGATTCCTGCATTAGTAGTTAGAATTCATAGCTACAAAAAAGAATTATGTTATATAAAAATAAGACCATGACTCCAAGCAGAGCAAAAAACAAATACAAACTCTGGATTCCTCTCTGTGACAATTTTTTCCCCCTGAAAACATGAGGGTATTTCCAAAAGTTTGTAGAAAATGAAATGAAAAGATAAAATTGTTTTGGCGCCAAAGCATTTGGATATTCATGCAAACTTTTTCATAATACACTTAAATAAAAACTTGGTATCATATAGGTTTGCATACAGGTCAATAAATATCCTATGCTTTTATTTACTTTTGGTGTGTGGTAGTTTGAGTGTATGTGTTACATTTGCTGTAAATCACAAAAGTTCCAATTAGGAAATGATCAGTTCCTCAGTTCTGGTTGAGGAGGCGGATGAAGAGGGCATGTCAGGATGTTCTTGGGTTTCATAGGAGTAACCTGAAAAAGGATCTTTGTATTTTGACTACACAGCCATCTTGGCCACCAATGCCCACTGCTGGACACATGCACCATCTTACCTTTATGTCTGACAAGGAGTCCTGTCAGCTCCCTTTGAGCCTGGGGTGTACCAGAAGGTATGGGAGTTGTGGGGGCAGAACAGAAAGAACTCTGTGCAGTTACCAATATTGTGTCTTTTTGCCTAGTGCTTCCAGTTCAATAGTATACTGAATTCTGTGATGCCTGGTTGGTCTTGCACTAGTGGGAAGAGCCTACCTTTGGAAATAGTGCTGGCTTCAAATTCCAGCCCTGCCATTTTATGTGCTGTCTAAAAATCATGAGTATCTCAGAATCCAGTTTCATCATCTGCGGCAAAGTAGGTTGAGACATGTTTCACATGGAGGTGATGAATTGCAAAGGAGATCCTGGGTTTCCACAAACAGCAGCTGTGATTGCCCCCTTGTCACCACAAGACTGAACATTGTCAGAACAGTCAGGGGCCTGTGGCTTGGGTTAGAAAGGTTTATCCACCTTGGATTTTCCAGTCTCATTCATTCTAACGTACACGTTTGACACTTGTGTCTGATACTGTTCTTGGAGTGATTTCTGATTCTCAGTTGCTTTTTTTCCTCCTAATTAGATCATTCAATGGTAGGTGCACATTTGTTAAGATTCACTGAGTTGGACTGCGAAAGCCCACCTTATAAGGGAAATTCTGCACACCATGGTCAGAAGGCATGACAATATTCTGGGTAGCTGAGAGAGAGAGAGAAAAAGGAAGACTGGATTTCAGCTCCTCATGGATAGTGCCCCTTTTAGTAGCCAGTCATATGAATCCCACTATGATAATCACCACCGAAAAGAAATACAAGAGTGGTCATTACAGAACAGAAGTTAAACCACTGCTTGGGATACCCACACTGCATCCAGAATGAAGAATGTGACCAGCACATTGGACATGGCCAGACAAGGACCCTGGATTGGATTTAAGTTTCAGGTCTATTTTTGACTTAGCTTCCTTCTCATATACACCACAGGAGGCAGCAGATGATGACTTAAATATCTGGGCCCCTGCTATCCATGTAGAACACACAGATGGAGTTTTGGGTTCTTGGCTTTGGTTTTTCAGAGTCTTGGAAATAGTGGGCATCTGGGTGGTGAAAAAGCAGATGAAAGATTTCTGTCTCTCTGCTTTCACACAAGTAAATTTTTAAAATCCATAGAAAACAATAAAAAAGAAATAGAGAAAAGAGATACAAGACATATTTATAGCTTACACTGATAACATCCCAAAGTTGAAAAATTTCATAGTCATATAATGGATGGAGGAAGAGAAGGCAGCTCTGCCAGGTATCATCAGAGTCCAAAGTTGTCTTCCTGATAAATTGTTTCAGACAAATGAAAGAGCAGCTCTGTACTACATGTCCATTCTTTGTTTACCATGGCTGTCAAGGCTGGTCCTTTATCTGGCAGCAGCAGAGTGATGAGGACCACCTGAAGCTTGTCGTTTATAAGATGGACTGAAGGAAATTTTTATGCAGAGATTGAAAGTCTGATAGGATCTAGTGTGGACCAAATGGGCACTTATATTATTGGTAGCCATGGAAATGTACAGGGCCTATGGAGAAGGATGACTTGAACACCTATTGAAATTACAATTGGCATTTTTTGGAACCATGGTTCAGTCTGTAGAAATGAATTTCCCAGAAATACTTGTAATTAGTGCACAAGAAAGTTTATACCGAAAACACTGACTCCGAGCCATCAAATCTGCCCCCAGCAACAGATACTTGTCCTATAAGGCCTCTGCAGAGGGGCTTGCCTTCAATAGCAGATGCTCCAAGTCCTACTCTGGACTCCTCAGGTGCACCAGGAGACAAGCTAGCTCAGCCCTGGGCTTCTGCTCCCCATTCAGAGACTCACTACCCAAATAGTTGGTAATCCCAAGGGCTACAGGAGCTCCTGAGACAGCGACAGGGGATTTCTGAGGACAGTAAACACCACAAAAGAAAGACAACAAACAGAACAACTGACAGTGAATGAAGCCAATCAATGAGCCAGCCAATGAGAATGTGAACAGCACATTGGACATGGCCAGACAAGGACCTTGGTGGAGAGAAAAAATAGTAAAGAAATGTCAAGTGACAAGGAAGTGACTATAAAAACATGTATTTAAGAGGTAGAAATCCCAGAAGGAAAGTGGAATATAAGTGGAGAGAAAGGATTTGAAAAATTAGAAACTGTTATTATCTCAGAAGTAAATGAGTACCTAAGGGCTAACATTGAAAGGACGTGGGAGTGTGGGATGTGGGAGAGAAATGTCCCCCACATCCAGAGAAACAATGGTGAAAGGAGAAACAATGGTGAAACAAGAAACATGGCACATCATCAGATAGCTCATGGAAAATATCATTATGAAAGTACTGTGCACAGATTTAAACATTTTGGCATTAAAATAAACTTTTATGATTTAATATTTTGTAACATTTGTTTTTCCTTGAAAAGTAGAGAGACAGGGAGAAGGAGAACCAGAGAGCCCTCCCATCCACTGGTTCACTCCCCAAATTCCCATTATGATAGGGGGGCAGGCCAGTAAACAGGACCTCAGTTTAGGTCTCCCATGTGGGTACAGGGACCTGATAATTTGAGTCATGCCCTCTTGCCTTCCAGGATGGGTAATAGCGAGAAGTTGGACTTGAGAACAGAGCTGTGACTAGGTCGCAGGGATCCTGAATATGTGATGTGAATATTCCAAGTAGTGTTTTAACCACTAGGCCAAATACTCACTCCACCTTATGTGTTAATTATAATTTCCTAATAAAATTTTTGAAGTACCTTCATATATATCCACATGTCTCAAGTATAAAGAGAAAATAATAGCATCTGGAGAGAAAAAACAAATCACTTATGCCAAAAATAAGATTTTTTTTTCAGGCATCTAAACAGCATTTTCAAGTTTAAGAAGATATTGGTGTAGTATTGGGAGACAATTTTCAAAGTATCCAGAGAAAGAAAGATAAACCTGGAGACTTGCAGTCAACAAAACTAAAATTTAATGGTGCAATGTACATATCAGGAAACATACAGGGTTTTCAAATGGTTATTTCAAGAAATCTTCTCTTGTGGGAGAGACATCTAAAAATGGAAGGATAGCGTGGGCTGTGGGCATGAAGGTGAATAAGTGAGTTAATAAACGTTCCTATTACTGTTGCCTAAGCAAGCAAGTGGCAAAAAATAAAGATGTAGACTTCCAAGTCCACAGTGGAAATTCTGCACAATAATCCTAGGGTTTGGGCAGTCATCAGGGCACAGGTATTTGTGGAGGAGGTAAACATGGCTAAGGCATCAGGAATGTTTGGCGAAAGACTACAGGTGCTGGCAAAGTTAAGATAACGAAAGAGGAAACAGAGGAGATTGAGCATTTCTAACTGATGCTAAGACGCTGGATTTTTCCCCCAGCTAGACATACCATATGCTCGTGAGAAAGGTACTAACTTACATCTCAGAACAATGCTGTCAGGCAGGTGCGGCAAGGGAAGGAGTGTGCTTAACCACAGAAAGTTGCTCAGTGGCAGGACTACGTAATTTAATGCATTCCTGTTTGTCATTACTGTCTATGGCAAGAGTAAAAGCCTCTGCCTGAAAGGGTGGTTTGAAGGCTCAAACCAAGCTCATAAAATTGAAAAGTTGGGGGATAAATGGTGCTAACTCACGCAAGTCAGGTCTCCACAGAATTTGCCCTTTCCTTCATCCTGAGCTTGTGGGTAACATGGCAAATGAACAAAAAGTCTTGATAGGGCTATTAGGAGAAATAGTGGGGTTGCCATAGAGAGGTTGACAAAATGATGCTTAAATAGCAATTCTGCAGCAGTTTAGTTCATCTTACTACAGCACTGGAAAATCCAAGTGGATAAGGAAACCTTTGGTATGGGACCGATCATGCTAATATTCAATATTGTCTTTCTGATATTCAATATTGCCTTTCTAATATTACTATTGCTATTGCTGCTGCGGCTGCTACTACTACTACTACTAAACCATTGGTTCTATCCATTGTCTTGCCAGTGCAGGAATTCACTTCTCTGATACACAGTCCACATTGCAGTAACTGCTTGGATATCTTGGACTTTTAGTTTGGTGATAAACTGACTTTAGACATCTTTCTACTATGTTAGAATAGTTTTTCCACGTTACACTATCCCTCCACCTTTTTGTCTCCAAGGGTCTATAATCCCCCTCCCCTGTTCTAGAATATTACCTTAAATGTTTTCGTTTGTGTTGAATTAGGGGCATCAGAGGCTGTGGGTGACCATGCGTCCCCTTAAAATTAGCCTGGCAAAGCCACCTGAGGTCTGGTTCTATCTCCCATCCAGAAGGTTGTCCTGAGGGCTTGAATACTACAAAAGCGAAGCAGAGCTGTACAGTGAGAGTGACTCTAGGAGTTGCTAGAAAATGCAGATCCTGGGCCCTGGTACAAAAACTCAATTGGTTGATCTTCCCCCTTCGGACACCGGGATCCTGTATGGGTGTGGTTTGTGTCCCGGCTACACCACTTCTCTTCCAGCCCCCTGATTGTGGCCTGGGAGAGCAGCAGAGGATGGCCCGAGGTCTTGGGGACCTGAACCCATATAGGAGACCTGGAGGAAGATGATGGCTCCTGGTTTTGGATCTGCTCAGCTCCAGCCATTGCAGCCATTTGGGGAGTGAGTTAGTGGGTGCAAGATCTTTCTGTCTCTCCTTCTCTCTGTGAATATGCCTTTCCAATGAAAAATATGTGAATCTTAAAAAAAATTCAGATGCTAGGTTTGGATTTACTCCAACTGACCAATGCACTTTAGCACATTCCCTAATGCCTCTGGCCTCAGCACCCCAAAAGTTAAAGAGAGGGATATGGTAAGTTTCCAAAATCTCTCTGGGTCTGACAGGTTGGATATGGTTGCAATCCTGAAGGTTGGGGGGTGCAGGAAAGGATTTCAACAGCTGTGCTCAAAATGTGGCTCCCAGAGCAGCACTTCGACACCACCTGGAACTTGTTAGAAAAGCATCTACCTATCAAATGCTGCACCAGAGACAGAGCATGGGGCCCGGCTAGCCATACTTTAACAAGCCTGTTATATGCTTAAATTGGAGGACAGCTGGATTTATGTGATTCTCTGAGAGCCACAAATCATCCCTGTTTCACCAGGGGTTATAGTCCTGTGTCTGGCTTGAGTTGTTTTCTTTCGGTTTCTTGGATCAAATGACCAAGTTTATGTCCTTGAGCATACACAATTTTAGAATAGATAAGACAGCTCAGCAGGCTCCCAGCCAGTAGGATAAGCAGAGTCCACTTTATACTACCTGAGGGAGGCATCACTTGTCCTGGTCCCACATTTATGGCACCCAAGTTATAACCCTAGGCTTCATTTCTCACACAGTCCCTCTGATTGCTTCCTTAATTTCGATCCAATAGTCATGAGCAACTCTTGTCCCTGATGCGTGGTTGTACTCACCGCAGGCAAGAGCCAAGAGGTGGGTTTGCCAGGTGAGTGCCAAGAACATTCCTCCGATTGCAATGCAGGCCAGAGAGCTGTTGAAACCCCAGAGTCCAAAATAGATGTCTCCAAATGGAGCTGCAAGACTGAGTCCTGTTGGGCAAGGCAGGGTTGGTCAGAGCTTTAGACTAAAGGCTGTTCTGGTAGGAGTCTGGTATGGGGGCAATGGTGGCATGGGTTATACTCAGTGCCCCTAGAGCTTCCATTGAATCCTTGGAAGCAAAGATATTAAGAAGGGTCTGGAGTACAGAAAATGTCTGCAAAGGTGTGGCATGGAGGAAGTGGTCTCTGTTTGATAGTGAATGGGTCTCAGGCTTACCAGCTACTATGCCCAGCAGAGATCCAATTGTCGCATGTATGCACATGAGGGGAGAGGAGAGGAGGATGGCGCACAGGAAGATGCCCCCAGTCCACGGGTTATCACAGCCATATATCTGACCGACGCCAGCTGGCAGAGCTTTAAATAACTGTAAAAGGAAGTACAAACCAAGACCACTAAAGCAAACAGAAGCCTGCGCTCCTGCAGTAGTGAGATGTTGGGTTTCGTGAGCCTTATCTTTCAGATCAGCAGTACTTAACTTGCCTTGGAGTTCTCTCTTTAATTATAGGAAAATCCCAGTCATCCTTCAGCTCTGTCTCCAGGGACACACCAGTCCTTTCCCGGTGCCTGCTAGACCTGTCTGCTCCCAACTTACCGAGCCCTCACTGGCTCTGCTACTTGGCCTTGGTTGCAGACAGGCCCCATTGTGGCTTCACAGCTCCTGGCTGTGAGCGTGTCCAGGCCTTCGCCTGAGGAGGGCAGGGACCACAGCTTACACTTCTTGGATTTCCAGCCAGCACACTTACTTTCCTATGACCGATAGAAATGTGATGAGTGTGCACTTTAGCTGCTCCATGCTGAGGCCTTGATGTTGAATTATCTTGTCCACATGTTTAGAAACAGTTATAGGAATGTTCACAAGTCAGAACCATATTTACCCTTCTGCTAGCGAATAGAAAATGTGTTCATTGAAATCAACATACCTTTAGATTATTGCAGTAGCTGATAACTTCCAATCAAGCTTTAACACATAACAATTCATACAAATTATTCAATGCAACAATTCAACTTTAGAGCTGAGGCTTGAATTTGACTAATGTGTTCACAGAATGGCAGTTCTCCGGAAAACACAAGGTTTCATTCAAACTAGCAAAGGATTGTCCTTCATGGCAAGACCTTTGTGCAGGCCCAGGTCAGGCATCACTGAAAGCTGTGCCTCTGCTCACTCCTCTCGCCTCTCCACCTTTCCCAGCCCTTAAGTGTTCTCTTTGCAAGAGCTGTCTGCAGCCTCTGATGAGGCAGACCAGGGCTTGGTGTGGGAGGAAGTGTCCTCTTCCTTCCTGAAACAGTCCTGCTATCTGCTGGTTTGTTCCATTGGTAGTGCGCAGGAACATACAGTGAGTTTGAATCTAACACAAGATGGACAGGGAATTCTTCCAGCACCTCTCTTCCCCTGCTCCACAGGAGCATTTCATTTTTAAAAAAACTCATCAAAGACTACACAGGCTTGATCTCAGAAGGTGGAGATGGAACTGTGTCTCAGGTAGCTGGAGGGCTGTGCCAGTTGGGAAACAAGTGAGCTGCTGGTGGCCTGCTCTGGGGTGGGTCCTCATCCCACCCACCCCAACAAGGGCTGAGCTCACAGCAGCTCTGACTTCCCACAAGCTACGCTCTACAGTTTGTGCTGGATATTTTTTCACTAGGAGGGGGCACATTAACTTTGACAAAAGCCATTTTAAATATAATCCCTTAGAACCTTAGAACTCTAGAATAGAGCAAATGCCTCAGGTGACAAAAGGAAGGCAGAAAGGACACACGTTGGCTGAGTATCCAGAACATTCTGGTGCTTGCAGACAATTAGCCAGGAGGACACTGAGTATCTTCAAGGGGCAAGATGATGTTCCTCACCTCCAGGGCACTGAGGTTAGACCAGGTGACTTCGGGAACCGAGGTTACAGGTGTGATCAATGAGCTTGGAAAGAATGGATTGTAATGTCCTGTGGCTGAAAGGTACATGGACAAGGCCATGTTGAAAGGGAAGGTGAAGACAGGCAGGTCCCATTTGCTGAACACGGAGTTCAATGCGCTTGAGAAGATTGGGCTGAAAAAGAGCAGAACAGAATTGCATGTCACTAATGTGCTGCGTTGGTAGACTTTCCAGAGAAAGAAACTCAGGATAGACCCTGTCATAGTTACAGTCTCAAAATAAAGCTACAAATCAGCTCCTCACTTATTTGGTTTTTGAGTGATTATGCTCTGGAGTGGCTCAGGGTCAGCTCTATATCAAAGATTAAGAACTATTTTTGGGATACGTTAGATACACAGCATCAGGCACACTATTCACACCTCTTCAGGAAAGCCACGGCCGCCATCTGAACAGGCATGTATCATTTCAGGCTGTGTTTGCATAGATACACACGAGGGAAAGAGAGAGAACTGCTCAAGGAAGGGTGCAGGTGGAGTGTGTTGGAGACAGTGGATGTCCTTGAGCTATAAAGTACATGACCACATACGTGTATGAAGTTGGAGTCGTACTGGATGGTCCTCACTTCCCTTGCATCTCTCATTTGTTAGTTCCATCAAAAACCATTACCTCATTTATTCATTTATGTAGTTCAAACTTATTTTTTATTGTAGCTGAAAGACTTGATTAACGAATCAGGTGGTAAAGCAAAGTGATAGGATTTTCTGAATGTGTAGCATTTCTGATAGAGCAAGTTGTGACGCACACCGTAAGAAGAGGAAATGGAAGGTTTCCATGCTGCAGCTTTGGAGCAGAATGATGGTCACATGGCCTCATTAGTGTGGTTATGATTATTTGAATCAGTTCTCATGGCTTAATTCCAGAGCAGTCAATTATTACTTAGTCACGTAGCTACCAGAGAACAGAATGTCTTTTACCGGCATAGCTCACTTCAGGCATTCAGATTTTTGAAGTACACTGTGATCTCAAGAAAAAAAAAATAGGTAATAAAACACTTTATTACTTTTTTTCAAAAAAAATTATTTACCTAACAAATTGTTTCCAGAGGACCTTCTGTTTAACAAGGGTTTTGCATACATCTATTTAACAAGGGTTTTACTTACATAAAATCACTTAGTCCTTCAGGCATGTTTATGCTGAAAATATGATTAACTCTTATTTAACTCCTGAGAAAACACAGGGCACAAGGAGGCTACATGAATCCAGCAAGTAAGAGGCAGAAGTGATTCTACAGGCAACCTAACTGACACTGCCCTGACTGCGCTAGAGCCTCTCTGTGCCTGTTTTCCTGCTGGGTGAGATGGGCTCAACCCCACCCTCGTTAACACGATGTACCCGTCAGATGCACACGTGCAACTGGGATGTGCACCTCCAAGAGTGCAAGGTGCAAGCAGAGGCAGACAGTTAGATACAGAGCTGTGATAGAAGCAAAGGACAGCAACCACCAAATCAATGGTAGGAAACTATCCTAGAGCGCATTGGTCAATTTTGCTAACTGACTCTAAATATATACTTGTTCCTCCAGATTCCCCCTGCACACATGTTTCTCTTGTGCTGTGCAAGTGGGAAGTATATCTGAATGCACCCCCATCAATGGGCCCTGCAGCAGGCATTGCCGCTCCTGCCCAGGTCCCTTGGGCCTGACCCACTCCCTTTACCAACTTGCAGTTGCCAACACCTCTTCGTATCGGAGGGCCTTTTCCAGAGCCATATAAGGCAGGTGCATGAGGTTGACAGTCTAAGGGCACTCAGGAATCAACACCCCTCCTTCAAAACAGCTCTCATTCAAAACTTAGGGTTACAAATTTCCCCAACTCCCTCACCCAATGGTGAAATAATTCTGAGGATTGTTTCTTGAAGTTTGCGTGTAAGACCACGCTCTAGTACCCCATTGTGATGGCCAGTTTAACAATACAAGCATACTGGCCACCTTCACTTCCTCATTTGACAATTGGTGTGTCCTGGAGCTCCCAAATAAATGATCTGTATTTAAGCCCTCATCTTACCTTTCTGTGTTGAGGAAACCTGAAACGACTATGGTAGTTTTCCTTGATGGCTTCCTGTTAGGCTGAACTGGGAAGGAAGCGCCAGCAGGAACTGGGATGTTTTTGATTCTACTCCTCTGCACTCAGAGGTCCCAACTCACGCTAGGAGTCTCCTTCACACAGCTCTGTCTCCTCACTGCTCCTTTGCCTGCCTCTCCTGGGCCCACGTCATACACAGCACCCTCTTCACTGGTCCTAGGTTACCATGGTATCCCTTTTGATTACTTTCTGCCCCAACCACAATATTGCAAACACTCTCTATTCTAAACTTTCTTCGAATTATCCATCTTGGCTCACTAGCTGGTTTTTTTTATTATTATTATTTTCTTTTCTTTTTTATTATTGTTATCACTTTATGATACAGTTCCATAGACCCTGGGATTTCCCCTACCTTATCTGCTAATCTACCCCCTGCCTGCCTGCCCGCCCACTGAGTTCTCCCATATCACTACAACATCATAGTTCCTCAATGACAGTCATATATCCATTATTGTGGGCATGAACAATGGCAGAGAGTCCAGCATCCTATTGTCAGGATATAGTAAACAGTTTCAGTGGGAGTCCATCTTTGTCTGGAAGTAGAGATGCATACTGGATTGTATCCTCACATCTGGGTATGATAGTCTCCATTACACAGTTACTATACATCCCCTTAAATGAAAAGTCACAAAACTTAATCAACAAGAAGAAAAAAAAGGAAGTTAACAACACCATGAAGTTAAATAACATGCTACTGAATGACTAATGTGTTGCTGAAGAAATGAAAAAGGAAATCAAAACATTTTCTGAAGAAAATGATGCTACTGTATGATCTGAATCATTAAAGAATTTAATGAGAAAAATATGTTTTGAAGAAATGAAGCTAAAGACATTAAAATCCATGAAATGTAGTTTCTACTGATCTTTGTTAGTCAGATATATCTCATGTAGGCAACAAATAGATGGGTTTTGTTTTTAAATCCAGTCTACTAATCTATGACATTTGATTGATGGGTTTAAGCCATTTACATTCAGGGTTAGTATAAATAGGTGGTAATTTGTTCCTGTCATTTAGCAATGTGTTGTTCTTTGATTAAGTCTTCAGCTGTTATTTTACTGGGTTGTTCTTCACATTTGCCTTTGGTTTTGGTGGGTGTTACTTTTTTCTCTATCAAAAGAACATTTTTAGGTAGGTATCATTTGTAGGATAGGTTTGGAGGAGGCATATTATTTCACTTTTTCTTTATTATGGGAGAGTTTTATTTTCAAACACAAAGGAAAGCGTTGCTGGGTACATTATTCTGGGCTGCATTATATCAGCTTTCATTTGATTCATTGCTGCTATTTCCTGTGTGACATTTTCCTTAAATTGCTTGAATGCCTGTATTACATGCTTCTCGTTGTTGATAAAAAGCTTTTTAACAAGTGTTTTGAATTCTGTGTCCCCCATTTTCTTGATGTATCCGTCAGTGAACTCTGATGTTGGCAAAGGCTTTTTTGCTCATTTGCAGGGGAGTCTTCAATCATATTCATTGTGCCTCTGTCTCTTCTTTTGCTTTTGGTCATTATACTTCTGGTTATCAGATTCTTCTCCTTGGGGCAGGTTTCTAAGCTCTGTCACCCACAGGTCTGCAGTTTGATTCTACTTACTGTGGCTAGTACTCAGCTGTTTGTTTGCAATCACTTACTTATGCCACTCCCTCCAGTGAGTTTCAGGTCTGGGTTCTTATGTTAGACTTCCACCATAGTGTCTGTAGCCCAGCTCCTAGCTCGGCACTCCATCTCCTGTGATCTTACACTATTGCACCATTGTCTGTACAATGTTTCTCCCACTTCTAGTTTGTGCAGTTCCCGGAATGACAGCGAATGTGCAGTTCACTATTGTCCCTACAGTGTCAAAGCCTTTGCCACACTGTACAAAATGGTGCCTGATGTGAAACGTGTGAAGTTCTTGATCTGCTGGCCATTAGTTCTGGGGGCTACCCTAACCTATTTTGGGTGGAGCCTGAAGGATGCCACATTGTTGCATTTCACTGAGCCGGAAAAGAGTTTGTTCCCAGTTTAGTGCCTCTGTACTTCTGTCACATAGCCATTGCCTCCCTATACAAGATGGTGCCCGATTCAGCTCTAGTGGGGATTTGGGCTGTGAAATCCACCCTTTTCCCACACTGCCCTTCTAGGACCTGCTGCTATGTCTCTGCTCCTGATCACGTCAAACAAACCCAGCCTGTTCTTCCAAGCAGGTGCCAGGATGCTTCCTGGGGACGCTGGCTCTGTCCATGACTCCTCTGCACATTTATTGTGCAGTCAGGGTAGGGAACTTCCTGTAGACAGTGCCCTCAGTAGGTTGAACATCTCATGTGTGTGCATGTTCACATCCTAAATATGCTAGGGCAAGTAGGAAATGCCTTCTTGCAAAAATAGATTCAAGATAATATCCATATAGATGCTAGTTTGAAGGATTCAGGTTTTGTTTTTTTAGAGATGGAATTTAGTAAAACATATTCTTGAAGAGGGTTTGTACAGCGTATTGGGAAGTTCACATAAGCACAGGGATTTTCAAAGTGGGGTCTTTGTCCCAGCCACTTCAGTATCACCTGGAGTTCACAGGACATGCAAATCCTGGGGCTTCAAACCTGGTGGGCCAAATCGAAGCCATGGGAAGAAGGGGCAGCCAGCTCTATTTGAATTAAGTCCTCAAGCACTAACTTAGGGAGTGCATCTCAACTTCAGCTACACTTTAGAGTAATCTGGAGAACACTGCAGAGCAAACACAACAGAATGCTGGGAGTGGGTGAGGTGTGTGGGGAGACACATGCTCTGGTGTCTGCTGAGGCTCCCTGGGGACCACAGTGTTACTGTGTGGCTGGGTGAGAACCTCTGTGTGAGAGGCGTATTGTGCCCACCCAGGGCACTCTGACATAAAGCCAGGTAATTGGTTGCAAGAAAAAAAGGACAGGCTTTAAAATAGCTAATTAAAATGTACAAAATATGGCATCCAGCATTTTAACCACGTGTGGCCTTAAGCACAGTTGTGTTGCTCTACAACCACTTGTGCCACCCATTCACAGAATAGGTTTTACCTTACAAAACTGAACTCCACACTCAGTAAGCAGTGACTTCCTGTTTGTGTCTCCCATCACATTTTTTTCAAAACTTTTAAAAACCATAAATTACTTACCAAGTCATGGATACAACAGATATGGGTAGTAACAGCCACCAGAAATAGTTTCCCTTGTCTGAAAAGACAGCCATGAGTATTCCCACCAAGGTGGCATTGTAGCCTTGGAGTCCCGCTGCGATGGCAGACCTGGGGACAAAAGAATGGTCATCATCCTGGTGGACTTAGATTGGACTCGTATGTCCATAACTTTTGTGATTTCCAGATCACACTCAGATTAGGATGTGAGGGTACATATGGAAACCTATTTCAAAGTCTAAGTAAGCATTATCCAAATACTAATAAAAATAGGAAGATGTAAAATGCAAGTGAACACAGATGGGATCACATATGTGTTCGGATCAGGCCTGCCACAGAGGTCATAGCTGAAGACAGAAAGGATGAAGAAGACAACCTGCTGTGACTTCTCCTTTGGAAATGTATTAGTATTTCTTATAAATCACTAAGGGCCTTTTTATTGGATTGACCTTTTAGCATAGGAAATAATTTCCTATGTCCTATTTCCTGGGGAAAGATGCAAGATTCCAGAAAGTAATTTCACTGTCATAGTCTTTGATCTTATAAACAGAAATCTTCCAATTTAGCATGCATTTCTATGTTCCTGTGTTCTTAGTTTGCTATCTGTGTATTTATTTTGAAATTGTTACAAAGAAGGTTATTATTTTGTTTTTTACTTGGCGAAGTACCCCCCATTTAACAGTGTGTATGTTTAGCCTTCCTCTTTCTGAAACCTCTCTAGTTTTTCAGTTTGCCAGTTGACTTTTACAAGTTAGCAAATCTGTACATTTCTACTCTGTATCAAACTGTCTCCATTTCATAATTGAGGATGAGAAGCTCAGGATGAAAAATGGGGCCACTTTGCTAGAATTAGCCTCAAGACTGGTGAACCAGGTTTCCCCTGCCTCAGTAGCCCAGGACTCTGGGAAGTGGCAGTACCTGGTGTGAGGGAGGACAGAGAGTTCACTTTCCTGGAGCCTGGCACTGGAAGGCAATGTCTCCAGGGGCAGAGAAGGTGGAGAAGTCCGTGAGTGAGGTTGGAGGCAGGGTCCTGACCTGAGGGGAGGAGCTAAGGGCAGTCATGGCTGAGGGGCTGGAGGTGAAGCAGGCTGGTTTTCCATAGGGCTAGGACCCATCAACGCAACAGGCTTGTGTCACACACATCCATCTGGGCCAGCAGGTTTGGGGTGGGACTTCCTCTTTAAGAGTCTTTGTAGCCCTCAATAATCCTTCAGAACAGTTAGAGGTGTTGCAATTTGGATTAGGGTAACCCAGAATTTGGGATTCCACATGATAATAGTGGAGCACTGTGCAAAGACTTCGCCTCTCAGTCACTAACTTGGAGATTTAACACTTGGGCTTTATCATCGGCGAGTTAACAATATCTACAGGTTGTAGAATGCTGTAATCAAAGCAGTGGAAATGTATATGTTCAATGAAAACAGGATGGACATTTTAATATAGTATTTTAGGAACAAGAAAAGTAAAAGAGATCTGAAATATCTATTTTTAGGAGTTCAGAATGAAAAACGTTTTTATTTCATCTTTTAAAAATTATAATATTTGCATGTGCATTCTCATAATGAGCGGTCTTGGAGATGGGACCTGAATCTAAACAGGAAATTCAGTTGTGTCTCAAATGTACCTTAAACACACAGCTTGAAGGCGATTTCACACAATATTGTGGAATTTTTCCATTTGGGGTGTAATGTTCCAGATTTTAGAACATTTGGATTTCAGATTTCAGGCTAGCCTTCTAAATGATACTTGACAAGGAAAATGGGATAGATTGGTCCTGTTTCAGTCAAATAGAACAGTGAAGGTATATTCACTGTGGCACAATCTTAGACTGCATTCCCACATGGAGAAGACTCTCTTGGCCCACATGGGCATAGGGTTGAACCCAAGATTGAGAATTCCCCTCCCCAGGGAGCAAATTGGATGCTGGAACTCATGGGAAGGTGGAACATTGGCTGACCTTCCCTAGGAGTCTCCCTGGATGATTTGCAGCAAATAGGATAACAAGTTAGCTGTGTGATGGCCATCCTCCAGCATCAGGCATCCATCCTGGACACCTGGAAGCTTGGTACTCGCCCTGAAGGAGCTGTCTACCCCAGGCAGGGAATTAGCATATCACTTCCGCAATGCCAAAATGATTTATAAAGTACGTGATACTTTGCCCCTACCATATTCATTCAGAAGACTATGGATGTCTCCCAAGTCAGAAGGGAAACATCCATGGCCTTTAGGGATGTTTGTCTCTCTGGGAACTGGGCTGACCATTGCTGTCTGTGAGAACCAGTGTGCTAAGGTAATCATGGGATTATTAATCTGCTGAGAATTTTCATGAGTTCAGATGAAATGAGGGTGACAAACAAATGTATCACCACTGCAGAGGTTCCCTTCGGGGGCTCTCCTGGCCACCACTCTCTGCTTGAGGATCTGGCATCAATCAGCTTGGCCCTTCCTCCAGAATAAAAGACCCAGTGCTTCCCTGACCTCGGACAGAAAGGTAGATAGAGCGCTGTGAAGTGAAGGTTGCTTCTCCCAGGAAGGGCGATGCATCATGACTGTTGCCACAGTCACTGGTCGGCTCCCAGGTTCCAGAGCAGAGCTAAGCAGGCTCAGGAAGCTGTAGGTACCTGTCCTGGCTGAGCAAGAGGGCCGTCAGAGTAGAGACTACTGCTCCCACGCAGCCTGTGAGAGCCCACCAGGGGTTCTGGACCAGAAGTCCCACCACGATCAGGATTCCACTGATGGGGTTGCTGATGAACACCACTTGAGATATGCCCCGGAGAACCCAGTTGACGAACTGGAGCACCACGGGCTTGTCTGGAAGAGATGACACAAACAGAGCTAAGAATGCAAGACTGGCAGGGCTCCCATGCAATGCCAGGGCCCACACTGAGCAAAGACCACCCATATCCCTGGAGGGGGAACTTCTTGCGAGATTTATTTATTTTTTTAAATTTCTTTTTAAAATTTTATCTGGAAGGCCAAGTTTCAGAGAGAGAAGGAGAGATAGAGAGAATTTTCTGTCTGTTGATTCCTTCCCCAAATGACTATAATGGTCAAGACGGGGCCAGGCTGAAACCAGGAGCCTGGAACTTCTTCTGGATCTTCCATGTGGGTGCAGAGGCACAAGCACTTGGGCCATCTTCTGCTGCTTTCCCAGGTGCATTAGCAGAGAGTCGCATCAGAAATTGGAGCAGCTGGACCTTGAACCAGCACCCATATGGGATGCTGGCATTACAGGCAGAGGCTTAGCTTATTATGCTGCAACTCCATTTTTGATAGGCCTTTAAACTTTTTCTTCCTAAGACGTTTGTTCCTCCAGTGGCATCCTAAACCCATGGTTTCTTTGTACTCATCAGTGTTTCTTCTGGTGCCTGAGCTCCAGAAAGCATCTAAAGTACTCACCACACTGGCATGTACAGATGCTTAAGTCAAAGCAATGAGTTACCCATAGCAACGTTTTAGTTTTAAGTAGGGAAATGACAGGATGAAGTCAAAAAAGCCTTCCTCCTTTATGAGTAAGACCCTGGCTCTGACCACTGCTTCCATAAAAAGACACATGAAGAGGTTTGCAGGCTTGAAGATTTTAAGCAGAGAAATGCCAAGTAAAGAAATAGACAAAAGGTTGGGGAATATAACAAGCAAAGATAGGAGTAGACATGAACCACTTCCCCCAAGCCCACTTGTCTCCTCTCTGCAAAGGCTGAAAGCACAGATACCTTTAAGCCAGTCGGCAAATTCCTTCATGTCACCGGTGACATAGCCAAATGCCTTGGGGATACACCTTCTTCCTCGAGATGGTGAAATCTGGTTTTCACCGCGATCCAGTTTAACCATGGTGGGGCTCTCTTCCATGGCAATCTTGCCTTCTGGCTCCTTGAGGAAAGGACAGTGTTTGTGACTCTCTCTCAGGGGAGCCGCAGGCACCGGCTGTGGGCCTGGTGGCGGTAGCTATGGCAGATGAGTTTACAAGCATTTGCCCGGCCCGTGATGTCCCGTGGAACAAAGAAAGCACCGTTTCCTGAAATATCCCCTTGGGAATTATAACCCAGCCACCGCCCCACTGCCTTTCATGTTACCATGAGAAGGTTCTACTCTTCATTTATATTTTTTTAGGATTTATTTTGTTTTGTTTTTATTGGAAAGGCAGATACACACAGAGAAAGAAACAGAGAGAGAGAAAGATCTTCTGCCCACTGGTTCACTTGTCAAGTAGCTGTAGCAGTTGGAGCTGTGCTGATTCGAAGCCAGGAGCCAGGAGCTTCTTCTGGGTTTCCCACGTGGGTGCAGGATCCAAAGGCTTTGGGTGATCCTCATCTACTGTCCCAGGCCACAAGCAGGGAGCTGGGTGGGAAATGGAGCAGCTGGGATACGAACTGGTGCCCATATGAGATTCCAGCCTTTGCAAAGCAAGGATTTTTGCCAGTAGGCTATCATGCAAGGCTTTTTTTTTTTTTAAGGTTGTCTATTTTCATTTTGTTTGAAAGGAAGAGTGAGAACAAGAGTGAATGAACTTTCTTTTCTCTTTTGGCTCATATCCCAAATACTTGCAACATTTGGGGTGGGACCAGGGAAAAGCCAGGAGCAAAGACTCCGTCTGAGTCTCCCACAGCCCAAGTAGTGGAATCCCCATCTGCCTCATCTCCCGGTGTGTATCAGCATAGATCTCATGCAGGGGTGGGACTCAAGTTCAGGTCCTCTGAGAGGGGAGGCGGATGTCTCAGATGCTGACTGATTTGCTGCACTGTAACAGCAACTGCCTCAGCTTTGGTCTTTAACTCCAAAAGGCTCAGTTTCTAGCAGAAGAAATAATTGCTAGGCACCTACTTTCTGCATTCAAGGAGTTCCATCTGGCTAAGAATTCTGAAAACAGTTCACTTCAACATTGTGACTCAAGTAATAATACAGGATGTGCTAACATCAGGGGCGCACACTTCATGCTGACAATTAAAGGAGGAAGAAATCAGATTACAAAACACACTGCTCCCTATGCAGACTGACAAGTTTCATGACAAGCAGCCTTAGAAAGCAGTTTTATTTTTTCAAAAAAAAAAAAAAAAGAAAGAAAAATCTATTTAGAGTTTTGAAAAGAGACTCGAAAGACATTTTAAAAACGGCTTGTGTCTAAGTTCAAGATTGCTCGAATTTTGTCCTATATCAAACAACTGCTACAGATGTTTCTGTTTAAATTGTTAAAAACAAGTAAGAATGATATCCTACTAATGAATAGAAATGGCGGAAGGCAGATGTAGATGAGGCTGCCTAAACTGGCGTTGTAATCTCAGATTCTACAGGGTAAGAATGTCCGGGGTGTGATTCCAGGGGAAACACCTGAGACAGAAGTACGACCTGTGTTCACTACAGGAAAGGTGCATGGCACTGACGGCAGATACATAAGAACACCAGCGACGGAATCCCAGAGTCAGGCAGAAGAGAAAGGCAAGGACCTTGGATGTGTAAGAAAAGCCAAGAGCACAGCCAAGTCAGTGGGGACACAGCAGGGAACCCTGTAAACCACCAGCCCCCTGAAGGTGCAACTGTGGAATGCCAAAGTCACAGCTACAGAACAGGAGCCCAAATAGACACCCGAAAACCACCAGCTCATCTTTTTCTGTGACCAGACTGAGCAAAAAGCCTCAGAGATTTTTTTTTTTTGGTTCATCTATGGAAAATTATTCCATTTCTCATGTCTGACAGGTGGCTATTAACAGATAATAAATTTATTTTAAAAAAATCCTGATTCTAGTGTTTGGATCTGTCAATTCCAGTGAAGAAATCAATGTGTGTGACTGATTTATTACTGAACGATTATATTTCAGTTGTGTGACTTCATTGCCCAACTTGCTATATTGCTTTTTTTTTTTTAAACAATGGGGAACCATTAATCACTGCACAAAGTAGGAGCTATTTATACCAAGCGTTCCCAGCCCAGGCCATTTTGTCTCAGCACATCGATGCTAGAAACCAACATCTGTGAGACTTTGAATGAGTCTCTGCATTCAGAAATTCTCAAATTGAAAACTGCTGAAAGCTGGGCACCAAACCAAGTCCATGTGGTGCTCAGCCGGTCTTGTAGTAAAAGCTGTGAACT